AATAAAATTATAATATATATGTATTTCCCCTGCTGCATTTATTTTTATTCCACAGCCATTTACGGAACCCTTGCTATGTGCCAAGAAATTTGCATACCTATTTATTCAATTAAACTTTTATCAAGTATTTACTGCATCCTAGGCTGAGGAAGGCCAAGGATACTGATATAAATAAGTCACAGCAACTGCAAACCTCAAAGTATCTGTAGAAGATGAAGAAAGAAGAGACAGATAGATAAGTAAATAAAGTGAAGTGTGGTCAACACAAGGTTAGAGATCTTCACGGCAGTAAAGGCAGGGCACCCAACCCAGCCACAAGGACATGATGACTGGGCCAGGCCTTGACACTAAGTAGGAGCCAGCCAGGAGATAGGAGGAAAAACATCCTGGGCTGAGTGACCACTGTACTCAGACCAGAGGCGAGATTCTGGGTTATGACTGGCAGCCGACCACCTTGCTGACTGCTTGTGGGCTGTAGGATTCATCCACCCAGGGAGCTGCCACCTGAGTCCCCCGTGTGTCAAACAAAGGTAATGAGTGTTTCCGGAGAGAACACCATGTTCTCCTGTGGTTCTAATTATTCCTGTCCTCATTTCCCATAAATTAGACCACAGGTCAGTAAACTACAACCCAGGAGGCCAAGTCCAGCCCACCTCCCTTTTTGGAAAATGAAATTGTATTGGCACCGGGTCACCCCCAATAGTTGCCTTGTTCTATGGCTGCTTTCCCACAGCAAAGGCAGAGTTGAGTAGCTACAACAGAAACTGTATGGGCCACAAAGCTTAAAATATTCGCTATCTGGCTCTTTACAGAAAAAAATGCCGGCCCCGCCAGGCTGGTGTGGCTCAGCGGACTGATCATCACCCTATGCACCGATAGGTCTCCAGTTTGATTCCTGGTCAGGACACATGCCAGGGCTGCAGGCTTGAGCCCCAGTAGGGGGCGTGCAGGAGGCAGCTGATTGATGTTTCTATCTCTCTACCTTCCTTTCTCTCTAAAAAATCAATTAAAAATATAATTTAAAAAATTGCCAACCCTTGAACTAGACTATAGCAGCCATGTTCTCAGCTGTCACCACTGTTAGTCATTTAAACTCAGGAAGATATGGTCACCTAAAGAAAACTCGTACCAACGCAGGAAGAAGTGAGTGGGGATAAGGGAGGCTGGGGACTGGAACTGGATGGGAAAGACTGTGGAAGAAGGGCATGGCAGGACAGATCGCCTGGTAGAGGAAAGACGTCCTCTCTGCAGGAAGATGTAGGGCTGGTATAGGGGGAAGTTATGAGGATACTGTGCTTATCAGAAGATTGGAATTGCTTTTCCCAGTAAGGCTGTTTCAGTCTGCCTTTTAAAGAACTGTGCAGCCTCATATTTTGCCAGATTTAAGGGACTATATGGAAAGTTCTTTTCATAAAGCATAATCATGCAAGAGGAAGACAGACGTCAGGTTTTTCAGCTGGGAGGCCACATACAATGCAAATTCATGCGGATGGCCCTCCGTGGGACTGGAACAGCCTGAAGTGGAGAACACACTCCACAGCCCACACAGCCTCCGGACCTCGTCTCTGGCAGCCGGATGATTCATGTATAAACTGGAAAGACCTTTCAATGACTGCCTTCTAGTCCCGTGAGCACAGTGCAATCAATAAATATTTATTGAATGTATTTTCCTAGGGCTTTGCAGCACTTGCTTACTGATAACTTATAATCTAATAAGCAAGGATGGTTCAGGGTGGTTACTAACAAATACATAAATGTATAAAGGAATCCAAGCTAGGAATGGGCAGTAGGAAAGAAAAAAAATGCTCCCATCTGTGGATAAAGTATCCAAACAGCATTAGCTTTGGGATAAATAAGAAAGAAGCATGTCACATAAGCCCCAGAAGTGAGGACTGCAAGAGAGAGAAAAAAGAAAGGAGGGAAATGTAAAGAATAAATGGCTGTATTTTTGAACAATGAAAATATATACATTTTTAAAAGCCAATCTCTTTTATTCTCTCTGGCTTTATGTGGGTAGTACTTTCATCTGTCATAGATATAGCTCCTACACTCAAGTAACGGCAGAGAGTTAACTGAAATGGGCTCCCAAATTGCAATTTTTGCAATAGAGATAAAATATGGCTCTCTGCCACCAATTTGGAGCTACAGTACCAATATACTGATGCAATCCCCCCTAAGCCCTAGTCACATTAGATTCTGAATGGTGGATTGCCAGCTTGGGCATGGGGATGGGCATTAAGGTATGTTTATTTAAGACTGAGCGTTTATCCTGACTTAAAAGCAAATTAAAATGTTGCATTTGAGATAACATTAAAAAGGGGCAATGTAATTACCACGTTCTCCCCTGAATGTCCTCTTTAATTCCCCAAGAAGCCTGAGAATGCACAGCCGCAGTGAGAGCAGGAGGTGGGAGGTGCTGAAAAGGAAAGGCATCTTCATGGGCATGTGTCCAACTTTGTAAGGGAAAGATCTTGCCTCTGGGAAATGATCCAATAGACAAGCCTACAATTTTAATGCAAATACTCAGAGGTCTGGTCATTACCATCCAGGTCTAGGCCTCTGGTGAATTGGAAAGAAGACAAGGTAGTGGTTGCACAAGTTCACATTTGTTGGCTCTAATTTTGAGGTTCCCCCATCCACCACAACCCCAGAACTGGCAAGGAAAGCAATGGTCTATTGCTGTCACATGGCAAGAAAGAGACAAATCCAGGAAGGAAATCAAGACTTCTCAAGGTTCATTTCAGGAAACCACCCCAAGAATGGGAGGCCATAAAGCCCATAGTTTACTGGACCTCCCTTGGAAGTAGCTGTGGCCCCTTGGAGTAACCTAAAGAAGACAGATAACGCTTCAGTCACAGCATCTTTCAGAGTTGTTTTTGCCCTTTCGATGCTCTGTAGATGGCAATTGAATCATAGGCTCTATAGCCACCAACTCAAACAGGGCAACTTGCCCAGAAATTTATAAATTACTACTCACCCCCATTACAATATATTTTTCAAGTCTCTTCATAATTCCACTCTTTCTTGACTTCAAGACCATCTACCCACTTTCCAAAAGAGGCAGAAAGAAAGGATCCTCGGGTTTCCTTCCTGGAGGTTATCATCACATCTGATAATATGTGTAAGAGCTGACCAGAGGCATCCTAATATCCAGCCTCCATATACTGAACACCTTCAGTGGCATAGCTTTAGAAACCAGAAACAAAAAACCTAGGTCCATAGCAAAAAAATGTGGGAAAGGTATTCTAAAGTATAGGATGCTGGAAGGAAGCTCAGGAAATCCTTGGTAAAAATTGAGCCATCAAGCTTCCTGGACAGGAAGTCAGGTCTAATCATAACACAGAGTAGGGAGGGAGGCTCTGAAAAGCCAGATACTCAGGCATGCTCACCCCAAATCCAGCTAAGCATGCCTCTACTCTCCTCCAAGAGTCCACCTGCCATTCCAAGGCTTGATTACCGCTGCAGCCTCCCTAAGGCTCTCAGTTACTTCCAGATTACCACTGGAGGTCGAATATCCTATTGTCAAGTGTGGCTGCTTATTTATGTGCCTTTCCTCCCTGGAGAAATTAGAAGCTCAGAGCCCAGAAGGAAACGCTGTGTTCTGCAGTGTTCTGCATGCAGCAGGTGCCCAGTGTGAATCTGCGGGGTGCATACCGAATGAAATTGCTTCACTTGTAACCCTGGCCCCAGTTCTGGCCTCTAGATCCTGGTAGTCCAAAGAGTGTAAAGAAAGAATTATGTGGAATTATGCGGAGGCAGCTGACAGTTGTGCTGCTCCCTACTCATTTCTTAAGTCTCCATTGACCATTCTGTCCCTGGAAGCCAAAAACACCTGCAGGTAAGAGAATCAAATGTGCAGTTCTGAGGATTTATCAGATAATATTTAAACCTCAAAGGCAGTATAAGACCTAATTCCTACTCTGAGAAAAATACATGCATACTTCAGGGGATGGATCCATAAACTCTGCAAGAAAAATACACAAAAGAATATGCCTTTTTAGAATGGAGGAGGCAGAATTGATGTGATTATGACTGATATGAAATGCTGATTGAAATATTTTAAAATATCAATATTCCTGAAAGTTATGCTGTACTTCAGAGGCTGCACACAAATTCAAACATGAGGACACATTCATTCAGGGGACACCAGTAAGTGCCAGGTCCCAGGTGTGAGGAGATGGAGAAAGGGCCCCGGGCCCTGAGTTGTCATTCACTTTGCTTCCCCCTTCCTCTTCCTTCTAGAAGGTTTCATCTACCCTGACCTTTCCTGGGCTCGAGTGTGTCTGTCTCAGCAGGTGGAGACTGTCTCTCTCCTCAGGAAGCGTGTGTACCGCACACTGACTTCTAGGTGTTCAAAGAGTTGCTGAGGATGTCTCCAAGAACTGCTGTTTTTTGCTTTCTCACACACACGTTCACGTTCCTTCGAACTGTACGGGCTAACGGAGGATGGCTAGCCTTTTACATGGCCACACGGGGACTTGAAAAGCCACTGTTTCTGTCCCCATTCTTTCTTAACCCAAAAGGGTAAAGATGAAGGGTGAAGACGGCCTTTACAGTGAATAAATTCACGACATTGGGGTTGTTTTCTAATTTCACTGTAAGGGCACCGTGTCCCCAGCATGAGCATTTTTCTATGATGAAAACTTCTCTCCTGGAATGTTGCTGATGGGTTCTGAAATAGAAAACCTGCCTTTTTTTTTTTCCTTATGGATTTTAGTATTTTATGTCATAAGAATCATAAAGATTATGGATAGACTATGAAAAAGGTATCAGAAAATAGTTGTAGCAGTGTGGTGATTGGGGGTGAGGGGGGTGAGTAAAGGTGGAAGGCATAGGAGGGACCAGTGGTGATGAAAAAAATTTAATTTTTTTAAAAAGAAAAGAAAACAGTTATAGAAATCAGGGGGTCTTCGGAAAATTTTCCTCGGGAGAAACAACGCATAATCTAACATCGATTTTGGCAACTAAATCAGAACTTTGTCCCTTCTTCTCTGTTCCAGGTACATGGCCATCATCCACCCCCTCCAGCCCCGGCTGTCATCCACAGCCACCAAGGTGGTCATCTTTGTCATCTGGGTCCTGGCTCTCCTGCTAGCCTTCCCCCAGGGCTACTACTCAACCACGGAGACCATGCCCAACAGAGTGGTGTGCATGATCGAATGGCCAGAACATCCCAACAAGATCTACGAGAAAGTGTGAGTAGAGACGACTCCCTGGAGCCCTCTTTGCCTCTTTCTGTTCCCTCTTTCTTTCCACCTTCTTTTATCAGTTAGAACTTAACTTGTATCCATAAACATTCTTCAATACCACTCTAATATCGCGTCGATGTGTCCGTAGTTATCAGGGGACTATTATGTCCCAAATACTATTCTGGGCTTTGAAAGAAAGTTTAAAAAAAAAACAAAAACCTGGATCCCGTTCTAGCAGCCCCTAGGGGTGCCCTTCATCTCTCCCTGCCTTTTGCCAGGGACTTTGCCCTGCAGTGTCTGCATTTCTTGGCCTGGGAGCTTCTCCTAAGCCACAGAATGCCGCTCTGCCCTCTTGCACAGTGTGCTGGAAGATAGAAGAATCACCCCCATGCCCAGCAGCTCTCCACGAAGACTAGTGAGCGCTGGCACAACACCCCAGCTGGCTCACCCCGCAGGGGGATGGCTCTGAGGTGCATTTTACACTGTGTCCATGGTTTAGCCTTGAGATTAAGCTCCAACTGCCCTGTGGCAGCTGGCTCAGTGATGTATCATTTGTTGGCCACCTTCCCTTCCCTGCACCACTCCCTACTGGTATTTCTCCTCCCAAATAAGTCACATGCACTTGCCTTCTTATCTCAGGATATTCCTCTGGGGACACCAGATCAAAATGCCTACCTTGCAGGATTTTCCAGTTGGAGAAATAAGACATAAAATGAGTGGGAAGGTGAGGTCAGGGTGTTGAGATCTTAGGAGTGACAGGCTTCCTACAGGACAGGACTGCTCATCTTCCAGGGGCCTAACTGATGACATTTAGGGTTTTTCGAAGCTATCCTGCTGAATTTTTTCAAGAGGCAACACTGAAATGCCTAAGTCTCTGCTTTGTTCTGTTCAAGTGAACATCAACCTGACACTTATATTACCATCAGTTTCCTGGACTCAGAGCGCTTTGATAATGTGGGTCCCTTTAGTTTCTTTGTTTAATTCTCACCCAAGGACATGGTTTTATGAGGGGGGTTTTTAATTGATTTTAGGATAGTGGAAGGGAGAGAGAGAGAGAGAGAGAGAAACATCACTCAATTGCCTCCCATGCCCACCCAGACTGGGGATGGAACCTGCTACCCTTCAATGCAGGGACAACCCTCCAAACAAGCCACACCGACCAGAGCGATAATGTGGCTCCTTTCGAAAGTCCTCTATAATTCTCCAGTCCTGGGTGTATTATGCGAATTGTACAGGAATACTGGTGTTAGAATCAGGTCTCAGTTTTAAGAAGATTGCTAGGTACTAGCTGCTATGACAGGCCAACAATCGCAGTCTGTCCTCGTTAAACTGGCAGACAGTAAAGCCCTGCTTCCCATAAACAACTGTGAAGGGCACACAAGAAAACGTATCCTCACCTTTTAAACTATTAAATGCCATAGAAAAGGTGAAATACTACTATCGAACCAAATTCATCAGATCACCATATACTCATGATAGGCCTTTAAACTTATCAAATGGTAAAATGAGACACTCTCCCTGTTGCCCCTGAGGTTTAAGGTTCTGAAAGCCTATTGCACACAGTTTCCTGCTACCTCTGTTCCACGAAGCATGGAATGAGGCTTGCCGAAGGCAGCCCATAAAGCTCAGACTCGCCTACCAGACGCAAATAGTGAGATTTAATCAACCCAGCAGCGGGGGGATTAATGCTCAGCCCAGAAGGAGATATTGAAAATTGTTCTTTAAAACAAAACTACAAGCCTGAACAGGGTCTCGGCAGGAGAAAAAACATAGCGTTACAAGCCATACAGAATCCATGAACATGTCCAATCCAGGAGGTTCCCTCAAAAGGGGGGAAAACCCTCTGAATTAACGCTTATTACATGAACTGATTCAGAAACTGCCTCGACTTCTTGGAGTGCAGCTCTGTTCTTAGTCGTCACCATCTTTTCAAAGTCTGATCACCTTTCTACAACTTTGGCTCCAAATACGCACAGTTCTTTTATCTTCCAACAAATTCACAGTTGAACTTGAAAATAAAGGTTTATTTTCCCATGGATCTCTGGGGCTCTTGTCCAAGAAATTAGTGTCTTGCTTTTGAACATACTGCTGTTTTATACTTATTAATGAGTAGAAGGCCCCCGTGAAACTCAGCTCAGCGTGTTGGGTTGTCATTTTTCTTGCTTTGAGAATTCAGGGTCGCTGCTGCTGGATGCGTGGTTAGGTTTGCCATCATTGTTTATTTCATGATTTTTATCCTAAAAAATAAGTCTGGATTACAGCATCTGATTTTATCTGTTCAAGATGTATAAAATGTTTATGGATGCATTTGTAAGTTGAAAGAAAGAATCCATACTTGCCATTCACATATGGGCTGTGATGCAGACATAAGCCAAGTCATACAAAGTTTCAGGTAAACCTATATTCTGTATGTCAGTACCCTTCATAATCATTATGACGTATTTTTAATGAATTTAAATTTTACCAGCTCTAAACTAAGTACTTGGTTATATTCTCTTTTGTTAGAAATGATTGCCATTCCCACAGTATACATTAATACCAAATTGAAACCAGAAGGAAACTCTGTTTTGAGGCAGTGTAAGAATGAGTAAAAGAGCATGGGCTCTGTAGCTCAGTGAGGGATCGCTTTCAGCCAGGTCTCTCTCCATCGAGTCATAATGGTTAGTTAAGCCTCTAAGCCTAATAGAGGTATTGAGAGAGATAAACAGTGGTTTATCTCTGTATACTGTCTAAATATCAATGGAAAAAATATTCTCAGGTGTGGATTAACAACAACAACAAAAGAGTGCACAAGGAGGTGGTAAACTATAAATGTAAACAAAGGAAAGGAGTCGTCACCATGAAAGTGAGGAGCATGATTATCTCCCTGGGGAGGGAAGGGGTGTGATCGAGAAGGGGCGCTGAGAAGTGCTTCCAAGGGGATGGCATTATATGTCTTGAGCTCAGTGGTAGTAGCATGAGTGTTTGCCTAAAGGTTACTTATTACACCAGGTAATTTTTCTGGAATGTATGTTTCATATTCTTTAAACTTAAAATTAAATGCTATTTAAAGAAGCTTGCCCTTACAAGCGCTCAGGAAACTGCTCTCATTGGGATGACCCCAGCAGTTTCTCCACAGGAAGGTATCCTCTGAGGCTTGGCCTGCATGACATTATTCCTAAGTACTTACCTCTGAACAGATGAAGCATGGATGAGCCCCACCCACTCTCACGTTTACTTGGCCTCTGCATTTTGCCTTGCTGATTCCTGTGCTTCAGCCACCTGGAGTTTTCCCAACTGTTCTAAGGCGTACAGGAGACAAATGCTTTTCCCTGGAGGGATGCGACAGACGTTAAGCAGACAATAAGTCCCAGTCTCCGCAGCCCTCATCCCTTGCTACTATATCCCCAAGCATGCACCTCTGGGCTACAAAATGCTACAGAGAAACTTGGTTCACGTTCTTGTAAAATCAGTTAAAACATTATTTCTCATTTAAGACTATGGAGTAAAGTGAAAATTCCTATAATTTCCTTAATCACCCATATTCCCATTATTTATGAAAGACTCTAACATTTTGATGAATATCCTTCTAGTTTTTTATTCCAATTCCAGGGAAATATTGTTCTTAGTTTCTTTTGAAGTGTCTTATATACATACAAAGTCACACTAATGTAGGTTGTATCCTTCTTTGGAACACAAAACATAGCATATTATGTACATTGTTCAAGACCTTTGTTTTTGTTTACTTCATGCATGTTAGAGATCTTTCCATATCAGTTCAAAAAGAGCTTCTCTGTTCTTTATTTCAGCTACACAGTGCTCCATGTTATCAGTTATTTAACCAGTCTCTTTGGGTGGACTTTGGTTTGTCTCCAGCCTTTTGCTATTGCAGAGTGTTGCCGTGAATAATCTTTACATATGTCATGCAAGGCTATCTGAAGCCTAACCCCCCAAAATGGAATTCCTGAGTCAAAGATATGTACCATTTTAATTTTAATATTTCCCCTCCATATGAGATTGTACTAATTCACATTCCCACCAGCAATGTGTGAGAGTCCACAGCCTCACCAACAGAGTTATTTTCAGGCTTTTAGATTTTGGCCCTTTATAGTTAAAATTTGCATTTCTTTTATTAGGAGTGGGGTTGAACATCTTTTCATAATTTAAGAGTCATTTGTACATAACATCCTATAATCTACTTATTTCATTTACCATATCATAAAATAATTTCCTATGTTATTAAACATGTTTCTACTACTTGATGTGTATATATTACACATATATATGTATGTGTATAGAGATAATAATTTTATTAACTAATCTCCTCCTTGGAAAATTGATTATTCCAGTGGTTTCTCTTAGTTGACTAGTGAAATGAAACATCACGCTTCAAAGTGGGCTCTGTCTAGCTACATCCACAGATACCTGAAGGAACTGGTTCAGTGTCCTCTGCCATCCCCGATTATGTTTACTATCCACTGTTATAGAAAATTATGCTCACGTTATAGCATTCATGACAGTGGACCATTGAACTCATTATTAATGCCACAATATCATATTTTGCAATTAATTTCTGCAATAATTAGCAACCGGGCAGCTTAGCCGTGGCTGCTCTTGCAAAACTGTGACACAACCCAGGAAGTTCTATAAAGGTGAAGTTGATTGACTGGTGAGGAAGAAACATTTCATGGGTAACCAAGAGGAACTCTTCTTTGTGGAGGAAAAAAGCATAATAAAAGAAAGGTGAAGATACAAAGAAGAAACATCTGGTCTTGCAAAATGCATCAACCTCCCTGTTCCATTAAAACTAGGAGGAGGAGTGTTTCCCTATCTTGGCCTTTGTAAATAACACTGCAGTGAACATAGGGGTGCATATAGTCTTTCGAATTAGTGTTTCACGTTTCTTCAGATATATTCCCAGAAACGGAATTGCTGGGTCATAAGGCAATTCCATTTTTAATTTTTTGAGGAGCCCCCACACTGTTTTCCATGGTGATTGCACCAATCTGAATTCCCAGGCAACCCAA